TCTAATAAATTTGTTAGTCTCTAAGGTGCCACAAGTACTCCTGTTCTTTTTGTGGATACAGACTAACACGGCTGCTACTCTGAAACCTAGCTATTTAAGCTTTGTCTTTACTGCTAAAAAAGGTGTGTTTTACTGAGGCTAAATAATGCCTATCTTGCTGTAAAAATCTAGTGGAGATGAGCCACCACAGTTTTACCATGAGGTGAACAAGGCAAGATCAACGACCGATGGGGGATACAGCACCGACCTCGCCTCACTGCCTCGTGATAAGAACTACAGGACTCTTGGCTCCACTGTGATTTTACTGTCACATGTTAGTTATCTAGCTGTAGAAAACTCAACCTATTAGCCGTGATGACAAAATGTTAGAGCCCATGTCAGAGAGGAGGGACCAGAGATCTGGCCTGGGTATGGGCAGAAAAGCAAGCTTTTGGGTAAGGACCAAATGTTTATTCTCTCTGAACTTAACCTCTGAACCAGTTTGTCTATTACTCAACAATTTTTTTTACAGAACCAATTATTAAGGCTGAGGTTAGTGTTTACAATGGAGATACTAACCTATTCTGACCCACATCATTGCTTGCCAAGTAATGCTATAATATTGTCTTCCTATAATTTCAAGAGGTTCTATGTTTTAATCACTGCAGAGCGAACTGCTGCCCAAGTGCCCTGACTTTGTGTTGTGTGATTACTTTAGTCAAGCTTAAACTCTCCATCTGATGTCAATGAACTGTAGCATGGTGACTGCAAGGTTACTGACCCAGGTGCAAATAGTCAATGCCCACTTAAAAAGCTTCAGACCCCATTAATGGGTTAGAATGATGCAAACTGTGGCTGCAAATGGGTGTACACATCTTTGGCTATCTGCACTGAACTGGATCCTTGCCGTTTCTTCTATGGTTCTTTCTTACAGCTTTGGTGAGCAACAAATCTATCATATTTTTAGAATGTAATAATCTGCAATTTACTGATTTAAAAGTGACTTGTATTTTTGCCCCAAAATAATCTGATGAATAGTATGCAATGAATAGTATCTGAGTCCATTGGTGGCTACTCAAGAAGTTGAGTCACTATTTGGCATGCACACTACTATTAATTTTTCAGAGCATTCTAGGCTAACATATTCAAAGAGCAAAGAACGATATCTATGAAACTTTTTGCAATGCCTATTGTCAGTGCAAAGGGCCTGATCCAAAACTACTGAAGTCAATGGAAAGTTCCTTTGTATAGAACATATTTTCCTTTGTTATTTTAATGTGATAATTTGTTTTAACGAACCTGGATTCATTTTCCTTTTTATTTCCCTAGAGATTTTGGCTTATCAGAAGTTTAATATTTATTGATTGTTTGACTATGGCAAAATGTCATTTTACTTTAATGTCATATCTGATACATGCCATTAGCTGTTTCTGCACATGGTGGGAAGAGAAACGATGATCAGATATCTTCTATTATTTAATTCTGTCCTAATCCATATATTAGCTTCTGTAGTCTGCAAAGTGTTACCAATGTTCTGTAGCTAGACATCCAACCCCAAAAGGGCAGTCGCTCGCCCAGCCTATTAATCTAGTGTATTAATCTGTTTCTGGTAATCAGCAGAATGATGCTTGCTGAGGATTACATATTTTGTGGAGCTTCAGAAAGGTAAAAATGTGTATTTAAAACCATTGGTTCCTTCTTTATTATGATCATTCACAATGTTACAGGAAAAGTCAGATCATTTCACAAAGTCTGGTCCTAACAAAAACTCCACCGAGAATCTTTGCCCAAAGCCAGTAGCAAGAGAGAAAAATGACATTTCACCTTTACCTGTTGATTTTTTAAAAATCATTTAAAGCAACCTTCTGTAGGCTTTTATGCATCAGAATTTGGGGGTTGGAAGGTTTCAGCTGCGTAGGGTAATCTGTAGTTGGATTTGTATCAACTAGCTGAATCTAATCTGGATCCATGGGCTCAAGATTCTGAGGTCACTGACACTACTGAATTCTTGTTTATACCGCTCCAGGGTGAAGCCACACACACCTCTCTGATTGCCATCTAGAAAGGGGGGCAATTCATGATATCAGCAGGTGTTTGTCAGAGGACATGAGGGAGCATGCCCTAAGTCTGACTGGCAGCAAGTCAGCTACAAAAACAAAGCCCTTCCTAATTAAAGTATTAACAATACCTTTTGCTCTCAGTGTAGTGACCTGGAATGGCATGTGAGCATCAGAGCAAGCAGGCTCTCTGTTTTAGAAAGGTACCCGATGTATTACACAAAACACTATAATGACTGTGGGCTCGTGTATTCTAACACCATGATCTTTAGCTGACCGCATACATTTGACATAGGAAATGCAATACAATGCAACATTTGGGCAAGCACTTCAAAGGAACTTGTTACGCGACAGTAAGCAGCAGGCTCAGTAGCAAGTGTTCACAGGCTCAGGGTCCATCTCAAATGATTGTACAGAGTTAAATAATATGGTTGCAGAGAGAGAGAGAGACAGACAGAGAGGGAGTTTTTGCCTAACTCAGACTGGACCCCCTCACTGCAGACTGTGACATGTTTCTGAGGTGGAAATGCTTCACCATATAGAGTTTCAGCATAGAGCCAGCTTCACTCCTTTGCTTTGGCTGCTTTCCACCGATCCAGTTAAATCGGCTCATGGCTGCTTTGCACTCTCAGAGCTGTTGAAAGAAGCCGGAATGTACCAGTGACTCTAGCCCCTTAGCTTTATATTTTAAAAAGTCTCATATTTGTTGGCACAACGCAGTTTCCAGGTGAGTTTTCAAATATTTAAGAATAGTGGGTATGAGCATTTCAGCAGACTTTGCTCACACAGTGCAGAAAATCAACTTGGGAATGAAGTCATCATTACATAGCAGAACATATATTTTCACAATCCGGTTTTGCAATTCCATTTTTAATTATACTTGTGCGAGTGTAAAGGTTAAAGAAACATTATTGAGTATGCCTTTGGAAATACTGATTAGCCAACAAACTTCTTTGTACATTACATTACTGTTCTGTAAACACAGTGACAATACAAAGCAATCAGAGCTGAGGCCCAGGAACTCGTCCATTTTAATGTGTTTAACTTAATAAAGCCAGCAATGCCCCTCTGCCATGTACATTGGCCAAACCGGACAGTCTCTCCGCAAAAGAATTAATGGACACGAATCTGACATCAGGAGTCATAATACTCAAAAACCAGTGGGAGAACACTTTAACCTGTCTGGTCATTCTATGACAGACATGCGGGTGACTATCTTAAAACAGAAAAACTTCAAAAACAGACTCCAACGAGAGACTGCTGAGCTGGAATTAGACACAATCAACTCAGGATTAAATAAGGACTGGGAATGGCTGAGCCATTACAAACATTGAATCTATCTCTCCTTGTAAGTATTCTCACACTTGCTTCTTATCAAACTGTCTGTACTGAGCTATCTTGATTATCACTTCAAAAGTTTTTTTTCCCCTCTTACTTAATTGGCCTCTCAGCGTTGGTAAGACAACTCCCACCTGTTCATGCTCTCTGTATGTGTGTATATATATCTCCTCAATATATGTTTCACTCTATATACATCCGAAGAAGTGGGTTGTAGCCCACGAAAGCTTATGCTCTAATAAATTTGTTAGTCTCTAAGGTGCCAGAAGTACTCCTGTTCTTTTTGAGGATACAGACTAACACGGCTGCTACCCTGAAACCTATGATAATACAAACAGTTTCTAAGACCCAAAGGTCAGGGCATTAATGATACTATCTATACTTACAGCCAGGGGCACCTCTATGTTTTTTGCCACCCCAAGCACGGCAGTCAGGCTGCCTTCGGCAGCACGCCTGCGGGCGGTCCACTGGTCACGCGGATTCAGACCTCCCGCAGGCATGCCGCCGAAGGCTGCCTGTCTGCCGCCCTCACAGCGACCGGCAGACCGCCCCCCACGGCTTGCCACCCCAGCCATGCGCTTGCTGCGTTGGTGCCTGGAGCCACCCCTGCTTAGAGCCAGAGAAATAGATGTTTTATATGCAAACAATGGCATGCTCTCTGGGGGCATAATTCCTAGTAAAATTGTCAGAAGTGATCACCTTCTTTTCATAGAATATGTCAAATGAGTTTGCATGTTGTCTCTTACAGAAGTTGTTAATACAGCAACCGATGTTTTGGCTATTTTAACCCAGTGAATTAATAACGTTGATAAAATTATACTAATTAACAAAACTTTACAGCCTTATACATTTCTTCTACTTTTGTGTGTGTTTGCATGTGTGTATCTGACATGCATGGGAGAGTTGGAAAATTGGGCAAACCTTAGGTTGTTGCTTTGTATTGACTTTTCCCCATGTCTGTAGGACCCTTGTCAAGTTTATCGGGACTTTGCATAAATGGAGGAGGGTCTGTACTCGCTGCGTAGCCTGGCTCCAACCCCAGAAGCTAATCAACACCTTTCATATGTGTTTGATACAGACTAATTTAAAACAGATACTTTTGTTACAACGCATAGCTGTAGCCTGTGATCAGTGACACAGCTGCCTTTAATTTCACTGCAACTTTACATATTTACCCCAGGAGAGAATCTGGGCCCTAGAGTGTTTAAAATCTTCTCTTTAATCATTCTAGAGGAAAAAAACATATAAGCCTTTTGTGGTGTTTTAGTTAATTTTTGATTCTAGCAGATCTCTTTTCCCCACAAATATTAATTTTATCCCTTAAACATATTTTAAACAATTATGCACCAAATTCTCTCTCCTCTCCCGCCCCCATTTTAGTTTTTCTTGTGATTGTTGAATGCAATACTTTGTTTCTAGGAGTATCACTATTTATTGGCTAGTGGATTAACAGTTCCAGTCCACACATCAAAATCCCACTGGCTATTCTTCTACTTAAGAAAGGTGGATACAAGTACCAAAAAGGGGATATGGGCAAGGTTCAGAGGAGGAGAGACCAAAACGAAAGCCCAGTGGCAGGAAGGTGAAGAGTCAGGGTGGAAGTGAATGGTTCTGAAAGGTGGGGATGAAAGGAAGGGAATAGACAGGAAGTGGCAGGATTTATACAGGAAGTGACTTCAACATCATTATCTATTGACCAATCTCCTATTTATCCCTCACTCTTGATTTGACAGGGAGGGGTGTCCTTATATTTCTTGCATCCTGCTGTAATTTAAGAGAGAAATTGCATCACAGCTCCTCCTGCTTTTACGTAACTGCCACTCCGTGGATTTCATACAGTGTAATAGGCAGGTAAACAGCCACAGGAGAAAAGGGAAGTATGAAGCAAAAACTGTTTAATACTAAGGCATGTGAAGACATAAGCAAGTGGCAAGACGGCAACCTATATACACAGTAGAGAAGGAAGCCAAATCCATCAACATGACACTCAGAAGCCTGAACAGACCAGCATAAGACCAAAATAAATGGCAGAAACAGGTAGATGCCCTATACAGAAGAGGGTGTGGGAGGATTAAAAAAAAGAGAGAGAACAGACAAGTGCAGGACCAGCCAATGGTGCTGCAGAGCTTGGGAGAGGTGTGCTGCCATTCTTGAAGGGGTGAGGCCTAAGAGAATGCAGCAGCAGTGGAAGACTTCAGGGATGGGGTGGGAAGACTCCATGTGTTTGTCCAGTGGTTTCCAGGCCATGTAAGATGTCCTGGATGCTACCTTTCCTGCTTTATCCAGCCACTGGTTCACTAATCCCAATGAGATGATGAGGCAGACTGAGGACCCTTCAAAACCCATTCAGGATTTAACCATGTTAAAACCTCATGCAATAAACTACCCGTGGGGTGTAACTTAGCCTGAAGCATTGTTTCTGCTAGCATGACTGTTAAAGATAAATCCCTGCTTGTATTGTTTAGGCAAACTGTGCTACAACCATGCTAGCTATAATCAAGTTGGGGAAACCCTTGCTGAGTAGCGCCTGAGCCACACTCAGCATGTATTGTAATATTTCACTCCTTTTGAAAGACTAACACTTTAGTCACTGATAGTTAAATGTGCTTTTGTTTCAGCTCTCTTCACTATCTGTAGTGTCACTAGATTTGTAGGACTGTATTCTGTTCTCAGTTACACTGGTGTAAATTCAATGTGCTTAGCAGAGTTACACTGGAATAACACGGATGTAACTGAAATCAGAGTATGGCCCGTACAATGTTGTCTTATCATTTTAAAAGACATTACTATGGTGATACTTTTTGCCTTTTCAGGGTTTCTGATTAAAGGAGCAAATCATCATGTCCAATCCTGTTGTTCTGCGCAGTATTAGGAGATTTGAAGAGGATAACTACATTTATGACTCAGATGGATCATGTAAGACATTTACTCTTTAATCAGCTTCTACTTTAATTTCAATAGCCTGCTGAAAACACATGCCATACTAGATATTGCAGTTCGCATAATTATGGGCATATTTTATTCAAAACAACTTTTGTTTACAAGTCTAAAGCAACAATCCATGTAAGTGGATGATCTCTTCTTATCAGCCTAGCCGTCCACAGTATCCGTCTATATGTCCCCATCATCTGTCTACCAAATGTAACTAATTTATCTAGATTTTCATACCATGATCATCACCATGGTATCTGAATAACTCCATTGACTTCAATGGTCTTTCAGCAGGGATGACTCTGGCATTCGTCTTTACATTTTAGAACTCACAATAAAAGCTGAAACACCTGTGTCCTGCAGGTTTCTAGGGTTGATTTATTATATTTAGAATTTCTTTTAAATGTGTGAACAGCTCTTGCTTTCCTCACCCCTCTCCAAAACTTCCTTTCTCTCCTCCTTCCACTCTTGCTTCATTTCTCCTCTTCGAGCTTCTTCTTTTTTTTTTAAAGTGCTTGTTAAACACCAAGCATCTCAGTTCAGATTAAACAGGAGGTGGTGGCAGGAGGCTTGGGGTGTTAGGTGAAGATGAATAGAAGCTGCTGAACATCTTGACCCTGACTTATATGTTTCGGTATAAGCAGGTGGAAAATTAAAGGGACAGTAGATATTTATATTTAATTGCAATTGCAAATGGAAGCAAGTTAACTTGATAAAATAGTAACTACATATGCAACAGGCAAAAGCAAAGGCACATTATAAGGAAATACATGTCCATACTTGACCTCTGGATTTAAGCACAAAGCCCACACTCATTACATCTGCCTTTCCCACATGCAAGGCCAAAGATGCAGTGGAAATACTGTGCTTTCATTGGGAAGTGTGCGGTGGGCAGGCCGCTGAGTCCCCGGGTGCATGGAATTCTTTGCACCCTTTGCACTGTGGCACACAGCTTTTCAGTGACCGCGCAGAGCAAGGGGCATGGAAGTGTCCATGCTAAGTGCTGTGTTACTGAATGGTAGAGAAAGTAAGAGGATGGGGATTTTCTATTCAAGCTGCAGCAAGAATTGGTTGAAAAGTAAAACATGATTCCAGTCCATATTAGGACATAAAAATGAGCCGTGGGTTGCCAGTGCATTGGAAAACTCTAGAGATATGCATTGACTCTTCAGGAACTTGCACAATGACTATTCAAGCCAACTCTGTGCTCCCAGTGGTGTTGCTGTCCAGAGCTAGTGCTTCATGGTGTGCCACACAAAGTGACTTGTGATAAATATTTTGAGTACTGATCCTTATGGTAAGGCCTCCCCAGTAGGACCACTGTCGAGACAAGCTACATTTTAGGGCCATCATCCTTGACAGCGTCTCTTGATGCAAAGGGTCAGATCGTGGCTGTTAGGCCGTGGCCTGAGTTGCTATGGAGGCTGAGGTGCTGTACTGCAGCCAGAGTCCCCAGGTGGAATTCTGCCTCTCTAAGTAACAGTTCTTCCAGGGGCTTCCCAGGAGAGGACATCTGTGTGACAGCTCAACCTTCCCGTCAGGGGATGGTGCAGGTACTCCTTTCTATGTACTGTCAGTGCTGGTGGCAAAGCTACAGCCCCTCCCTTCTACAGCCCCTTTCAAGCTGCCGGCACACTGCACATGACTGTGCCACTCATCAGGACTGTGACTGACAGAGCCAGCTGGATAATAGTGAACATTATTTACCATCACATTATTTGCCACTTGATGGGAATATGCCTCAAATAATGTATTGAGTGAGTAATATTCAGTCATATATTCATGGTTAATTATTCAAGGGGAGAGTGACAACATTAGTAATTAATTCATTATGCACAATCAAGGGTGCTGGAACAATTTGTATAGTGGGGGTGCTGAGAGCCATTGAACCAAACTGCAAACCCTGTCTATGATGGAAACCACTTCAAACTGGGGGGTGCTGCCGCACCCCTAGCTCCAGCACCTACATGCACGATGAAATATTTCACCAACATTAATGCCTGGTGCCTGAGGTGGTGTATGAGTGAGAGGAGTCTCCTTGAATCTGGGGAGGACTGGGTACCTTGGGCCCTAAGGTTTATTTCGAGAACGTGTCTGTTGGAGACTATGCACTTTATCAATAACTATTAACTATGGTTTGTATTTATTTCCCCCAACAGATAACAACCATAAGAAACCAGAGTAAGTCCCATAGTTGCTCATTGATCAGACAATCATTATTTGTTTCTAGAACTGTCAAGTGAAATAAATGTTATTAACACGTGACATTAATGCATGTATGGTATTTATGGTATTTGAGATGCAGACATGCACTTTGCTTTCTGAAACTGCACTATTCGATTCAGCTGAGGCAGGCTAAAGCAATCTTTATAGAAGAGGTGAAGAGAAGTGTTGAAGATGTAGAGTAATGGCTGCAAAATATCAGGGTCTCCTTCAGCAAACCCCTTTAATATTCATTTTGTGTCTGTTCACACCACACCCACACACCCACCCCAACCACCCAGCGTGTTTGGAGAATAACATTGTGGTGGAAGTTTCAACATAAACTTCATAACTTTTAGAAATATGAGACTAGAAGTGAAAAAGATTCAGTCGAAATCATTCAGCAGGAGAGGAATTGAGATTGAAATGCAAATTCCCAGCTATTCACAGGTTGAAAGGTCATAGAGACCCCAATCATTCTCTGTAACTGACAAGTGCTTGTGGGGAACATAACACCTCTATGTTCCTTGATTCTGGAGTTGCTCTACACCAGATCCTGAGAACTTCTGTAAATTGCACCTCTTCTTCATGGCCACAAAGGGCTGTTTCAGGAGCAGGGAATCACTAGCATTCTTTTATTTTTTGATTTAGTTTTATTTGTTACATATTTTAAAATGTTTAAATGTCATGTAAACTCAAAACCAAATCCACTACTCATACAGCTCTCACCACATAAAAATGTTTGGTATAACATAAATCCCATTCCTGTTGACTTGATAGGACCTTTAGGCTTTATAAATTACTGCTGTGTGTAATAGTCTAATGTGGGCATTGCTGGAGGGTCAAATAATACTCTCCAGCAGAAACCCTGTGGAATGGGATAGGAAGAGAGACTCCAACCCACTCCAGGCATGCAGGTGTGGTGTGGTCCCATCCAGTCAGCAGTGCTAGCAGCCTGGTGGATGTGGGAGCAGGAGAGGACATTTACATTGGCGATTCACAGGAAACACAGGCCTATATCCTGTGTATCTCTGGCCTTCTTGCAAATCAGTTGTTCCTCCCTGTGACCTCAAGGAATTCCCAATCCATGTTATAAACAGTGCTATGAAGTGGGACTAGTGGTGGCCCCAGCAGCATAAGCCTTCATGTCTCTTTAACCACAGAATTTTGTTCCTAATCTGAGTGCTGCATATTGGCGTCTGCTTCTCTGGTCCATCCCTTCTCACCACAGTGCACCATCCTCCTGGTACTCCTGGGTGGAGGGGATTCTGCAGGATCAAAGGCATGGGGGAGTTTGTGATGGAGTCACTGCTCCCCTTTTTGCATATCATCCACCCCAGGCCAACAGTCCCCTCCGTCAGCAGAGCTAGAAAGGAGCACTCAGGCCCAAAAAGCTGTTTAAAGTAGGTTTAGAACTGGAGTCATTCTACAATAGTGAGATGTATACAGCTTTCAGAAAAACCTACACTGAATCACTGTCCTAGAACAAGTCTGAGAGAACCACATCATATAGGATTTTAGAAGAAAAATTGTGTGGCTAAAGTGTCCTACAAAAAAAATAAATGGTGCCATTGATAGAATCAAGTGAAAGAAAAGACTCAGGTTAAAAGTGCTTATTCCAGGTATTTCTATACAAGTGAGGAACCTTCTCCAGAGAATAAGAAAAAGGGGACAAGGGAGTCAAATTCAGCTTTATATGCAATCATTAGGCAGGAGAAAATATATGATATAGCTGGAGATTGCAGTTTTATAATTCTACATTTTGTTTTCTTGAAGGTCATCAAACAAGAAAGAAAATGATATTCGGCTTGGCTTCTTTCAACTGGTAACGAAAGTGTTGGATTTAAATATTTTACACATACTGTGGGGTCACTGAAATGTGTCTTTAGTTGCAGTATGTAGTTGTGACTCAGTCAAACCTTTAGGGTGAAATCTTGACCTTACTGAAGTCGATTGGAGTTTTGTCACTGGCATCAGTAGAGCCAGAATTTCACCCTTTGTCATTATGCCACATGTATATTTCCTATGGGTCATGATTATCTGCTGGGTACATTGTCATTAGAGCAGGTCAGAAATTTTTTTCTGATTTTTTTTATTTTACAAAATATTCTTATTTTACAAAATATTCAGAGTTCTATACCCACATCATACATATGTTAAACTGTTTTGATGGTTAGGTGTAAAATACACAGCATGTATATACCATATGTGGCTAGAGAGCCGATGCCACATAAAACTGGGCATTTTCCAAGGTTTTATGGCAAGATCATTAATTTCATTATATTTCTCAGACTTCTTTTTTGTTTTTCCTTTCTCCCTTTTAACACTGTAGCACTTCACTGTTGATGAGGGGTGGGCAAACTGTTTGGGTCAAGGGCCACATCTGGGAATAGAAATTGTATGGTGGGCCATGAATACTCTCAAAATTGCGGTTGGGGTGTGAGAGGGGGTGAGGGCTCTGGATGGGGGTGCGGGCTCTTGGGTGGGGCCAGAAATGAGGAGTTCAGGGTGCGGGCTGGAGCGGGGGGGGATGCGATGGAGTGGTGAGGGCTCCAGCTGGGGGTGAGGGCTCTGGGGGATGAGGAGTTTGGGGCGTAGGAGAGTGCTGCAGGCTGGGACCGAGGGGTTCAGAGGGTGGGAGGGGGATCAGGGCTGGGGCAGGGGTTTGGGGTGTGGGAACGGGTGCAGACTCCGGTT